AGGCACCCCTCCTTAAAAATCATTTTTGAATGATATAATATATACCATGTATTGTGAAAATTCTAGGACATACAGAAAAGTATAAAGAGAATATCACCTTTAATTCATCCAGATGGAGCTTCCTTCAAAATTTGAGTATATTTTCTAATTGTATTTGCAAATATGTATATACAGATGTGCGACCTGTTCTGTTAACATAATTTTCTCATGTTATTAAAAAACGTAAGACACTTCAGTGTTGGCTTTCCAAGTAACAGAGGAAAAAGAAGCCATATTTCAATAGATGCTTCAAAAGCATTGGAAAAAATTCAGCACATTAATTAAAACTAATATAAACTCTTAGAAAGCTAGGAAGACAAAATTTAAATTTATAAGTCATCTACCAGAAGTCATAATGGAAAAACTGAAGTATCTCCATTGAATTCAAAAGTCACGCAAAAATGCTATTACTTTTGCCACTTAAATTTATAGTAGAGGTCCTAACAAATACAAGAGAAAAGGAAGAAATGAAGGATACGTATTAAAAGAGAAAACTTGGGGCACCTGTGGCTCAGTCACTTGTCTGCCTTTGGCTAAGGTCATGATTCCAGGGTATTGGGATCCAGCCCCGCATCATGCTCCCTACTCAGCAGGGAGCCTGCTTCTCTCCCTCTGCCTCCCCCTCCCCACTCGTGTGTGTTCTCTCTCTCTCTCAAACAAATAAAGGCTTAAAAAAAAGAAAACTTACTATTATTTGAAGGTGATAGGATTGAGACTTTTGGTTTTCTGGGGAGACAGTATAAAATTATTAGAACTAATAAAAGTATAGTGAGGTAGCCAAGTAAATGATGACTATACAGAAACAAATATTTCGTCTGTACATTAGTAATAACCAATTAGATGATTAGAAAAAAGACCCTATTCACGGTATCGAGTATATTAAAATAAGCCATAATGGGTAAAACCATACGTTAAGAGAAGGTAATGTAGAAGATTATATTGTGACTTACTGGTAGTGAAGGAACTCTTAAAAAACCCAAAGCATAAATCTTATCGTAAAAATTTAAATTTGATCATACAAAATTAAGACTTCCTTTTCAATGAAAAACATCATAACTCACAGCGATATGGGCGCTCACATTGGAATGTAAATCAGCACACTGCTTCCTTGAACAAGAAAAACATCAGTTGGAATAAACAGTGTACTTACTGATATGGCTGACTAACATTCTGGTGCAAACTCATTTTGTCATGGACCAATACCACATTCGAACAATTGGTGGAATATCAGCTGGCCTGTGTACAACAATAAGCAGCACTGCCAAAGATAAAACTTTACAGAGTAGTGATAGATGGATAAATGTTTAGCAATGTTTTAAAACTGTCAGGGGTGGTGTGCCACGGTGGCACAGTCAGTTGAGCATCCGACTCTTGGGTTTGGTTTAGGTTGTGATCTCAGGGTCATGGGATCGAGCCGCATGTTGGGCTCCGCTCTCGGTGTGGAGTCTGCATGAGACTCTCTCTCTCTCTCTCCTTCTGTCCCTTTCTCCCTAAAATAAATAAATCTTTTTAAAAAACTGTCAAGGGACTTTGTCATTGTAGTATATTTAAGGAACACCTCCAAATTAACCAGGATAAACAAAGACTATGGATAGATAATTCACAGACCAGGGAATTCAGCACATTAATAGATGTTGGAACTCATTAGTAATTAGAGAAATACAGCTTATAAAACTACCAGATTAACAAATTAGAAAACTGTGTAATGGTAAGTGTTAAGCAGGCATGTGAGGCTGTAGGAACCCTTGACTGGTTACTTCTGGGTATATATCCCAAAGATGATTTCACATTATTCCATAAGGTAACATCCGGGAAAATACTGCATCATTGTGGCAGTTAGTAGATTGGGTAAGTAAAATGTGCTGCATGCATATTATGGAATATGTAGCACTTAGAAGCAGTGAACCAAATAGTACATGTAGCAACATCAGTAGCTTTTAAAAATAATGCCGGGGGGGGGGGGTGGTTAAAAATGTTTATTGCTCAGTACCATTTCTGAAACTTAAAAATGTACACACAGAACAACATAAAGTTTTGAAAAAAATTATAGATATAAGAAGTGAAAAGTGTTGCCTTTGGCAAGGAGAAAGGAATGTGAATGGGCAATAATTAGATGGTTTACATAAATAAGTAAAAGAAAATAAAGGTAACCAGCAGTATTTAAGATCTGTTAGAACAAAACTAAACCTTTATTTACAGATTTAAAAGATGATCTAAATTTGTGAGTAGAGACAGATGATACCATTTTCTGCATGGGAAGACGCAATATAGTAGAAGCCCTCTTTGATCAAATTAGGGTCAACAGTTGTTAGGTTAATTATTGTTAAAATGTTAAAGCAGATCTTTTTAAAAATGTCATTACTACATACCACTTTTTAAAAAGATTTTATTTTTAGAGAGGAAGAGTGTGAGCCCGGGGGTGGGGGTGTGAAGGGGGCAAAGGGAGAGAGAATCTCGGGCAGACTCCGGACTGAGCGCAGAGCCCATGACCCTGAGATCACGACCTGAGCCAAAATCAAGAGTCTCTGATGCTTAACTGACTAGCCACTTAGGTGCCCCAGTACATACCACTTTTTAAAAACTGAAACACAAATGTCAATTCCTTTTCCTAACTTTCTAATGTAAGGCCACAGACACTACTTGGAGTCAGAAATAGTCTGTTCTCTTACTTACATAAACTACAACTATCATCTCTGATTTCTTTAAAGTAGAGCAACAACGGTATAAAGACTTCAGTTTGTAAAGGAACCTGAATACAGAATTGGAAATTTTTATAATTTACCCCGAATCTCTTTTCCCTAATTTAACACTTTTTATTTTAACATCTTGCCTTTTTAGTCTTTGCCAGATACTCAGATTAGTTTTTATAAAAATAGTTCCCTTTTCAGTTTAAATCATTGTTCTATATAATATTTTAACTTACTTATATACAACTGACATAAATGAGTTTAGAGACAAACACCTGGCTTGGTACACATACAGATAACTGGTGGGAGCAAAAGAGTGATTGCAAGCATGCATTATTCAATATGTTTTAAGTTTTTTTAATTGGCATAGGAACAGACAAATATGTCTGCAGAATGAAATAGTAAGCGTTGTGTTGTTTATAAAGAAAAGTGGGACAATTGACTGTTTGAGGGAAAAATGCGTTGAGATCATTTCTTTACACTAGTCACATGGATCCTACAAACCTATTTAGAAGTAAATATAGGCAGCTCTTTAACATCTTTCATGAGGAAGGATTTCCTAAGTCAGAAAACCTATAAGCCATTTTAAAAATTGACAGATTTTATGTAGTTATAAAGAAAAGGCAGATGACTTCTTAAACTGGGAAAAAGTATTTGCACTGTGTACAACAAAGGAGTAACACGTTATGTAAACAGCTTTTACAAATCCTTAAAAATGTAAATAACATTAGGAAAACATGCAAAAGTATATGGACAGATAATTCATAAAGGAATATGAAATAATTTTTAAACTTGGTCAAGAAAACATGAAAAGATTACACTAGGAATAATGGGGAAATGTACATTATGTGAGATCATTTTTTACCATTAGATTGTCAATACTATCTATAATTGGCTAGGTTATGGGGAAACAGGTACTTATAAACTGTTGGTGTAAAAATGCCCTTCTGCAGGGTTATTTGGCCGCACCTTTAATTTTAAAATGCATACATTTTATTTCATCCAGTAGTTCTAATTTAAGGAAATTATGTTAAAAACATATTCAAGTGTGCACAAAAATTATGCTTAAGTATTCTCACTGCACCATTGTTTGGGAAAAAATTTGGAACATATTTAATAAGGCATAAAAGTGCAGAAAGTTACATACCTTAATTGTAAGCTTAGAGAATTGAATTGGAAATGATGGGTGAGTTTCACTTTTTATATTCTCTACTTTAAATGTTTTAGCTATAATGTATTATATATTTTATAATTAAATGTGAGAATTTGTAATGACTTTGTAGATGTATTTTTAATGACTATAACATTCCATTGTTTGTGCTATAATTGTTACCTGATTTAATACCTACTATATGTAATCCCCTTAATACTCTGAGAATAGGAATTCTTACCCTCATTTTACAGATGAAGAGTATGATATTAAGCAAGGTGAAGTGATTTGCTTAAAATTCCCATAATCAGGCAGTGATTTGGGGTTTGAAACCTGATCTATTTGCTTATACAAGCCATACCCTTTCCAGCCATATTGAATGGTTTTCAGATTTCAGAACAAGGTTTACATTTAGAGATGGAAGAAGAGTGTTCTAGTTAATTTGGTGTTTTGTGTAGAGCCATAACAGCACCTATCAGAATTAATACTTTGTCGGATCATAGCACCCCACTTTGAGGTTATTTGATTATCTGTCAAACTAACACTTCATACTTTATTAAGTTAAATGTTCTGACCATTTAGAAAGTAAAAGTTAAAATGCATTCTATACTTTTACATGGCAAACATGCAAAGTGTGGAATTTTTTTGCTGTAGTTTTTGTGTAGTTTGGGATTATCATGTTCTTTTCTTCCCTTGGATCATTCTATCACCAGGAAGGATTGCTTAAATGATTGCAGTTACAGTAGTTTCCCCCTACCTTATCTGCAGGGGATACATTCCAAGACCCCCAGTGGATGCCTGAAACCATAAATAGTACTGAACCCCATACATACTATGTTCTTTCCTACACAAACCTATGATAAAGTTTAGTTTGTAAATTAGTCACAGTAAGAGATTAACAATAATAACTGATAATAGAACAGTTATAAAAATATACTGTAACAAGAGTTACATGAATATGGTTTCTCTGAAAATAATTTATTGTACTGCATTCACTTTTCATCTTATGATGATAGGATAAAATGCCTATGTGATGAAGTGAGGTGAACGACTAGGCATTGTGATGTAGTCATCATGATACAGCCTTGGTCTGCTGTTGACCATCTGACAATATGTCAGGAGGATCATCTTTCAGACTGCTGTTGACTGTGGGTAACTAAAACCATAGAAAGTGTTTTGGACTCCTTTTACCTTGTATGACACTTGTGCTCCCTTTTTCCTCTGAATTGGGCTAACATAAAGACTGTAGATGGAAGGTTGACTTTTAAGTACCAGACAATTTACAGTCTTGATGGGTGCAATACATTGCAGCTTTTGTGCTTGATGCTTTGTTATTACAAATAAGAGCATCTTAAGGTTTTCAAGGGGTAAGACATATATGCTAGGTATTTAGTAGTAGTAACTACTCAGACTCTCTATTAAAATTTTAAAAACTTAATTTTTCTCAAAAATGTAACTTGACATGGGTTGCTTTCTCCTATATCTTCTTTTGAAATGTGACAGTTCTTATAACAGTGGTCTTCAACAGACATTTTGGTTCATGTCTCTTCATTTTTTAGACTGCTTCCTGAATCTGAATTCTTTTTGTCATCCATGCCCTGTGCAACAGCTACATGTATTCACTTGCATGTGGTTAAGAACTTGGGTTTAGAAGGATCTAATTCTGTCAACAGATCAAATTAATCTCAGTTTATATATCTGTAAATTGGGGATTATGGTATCTACCTCATAGTTTTTAGGTGTAAACTAAATGAGTCATAAAATTCCTAGGTTTAATGCTGATCACGTTGAAAGCACATAATAAATGGAAACTATCATTGAACATGGTTGTCAGCACATAAACTACATGATAAGTCCCTTTTATATTTACTATATATGCATTATTTTGCATAAATACATATTGCCACATGTTTGGGGGTTTTTTGGTGTAGTCTTTTTTTCTCTTGGTCATCTTCCTACAACCTAAAGTGTATCCTTGTGTATGTATTTTTATCTTTATATTATATTGACATGTTTAGGGTATTTTTGTCTTTGAATTACGGAGGCAGGACATTTTTGCATCTCAGTTTTCCTTTTTTTTTTTTTAAGATTTTATTTATTTACTTGAGAGAGAGAGAAAGCGCACATGAGGTGGGGAGGGTCAGAGGGAGAAACAGACTCCTTGCTGAGCAGGGAGCCCGATGTGGGACTCTATCTTGGGACTCCAGGATCATGACCTGAGCCAAAGGCAGTCACTTAACCAGCTGAGCCACCCAGGCACCCATCATCTCAGTTTTCTTATTTAATGGTTTGTTAAAAATTCACTAAATCACTTGTGTAACTATGTCATTCTTTTAATGGCTACATAATATTCCATAGTTTGAATGTTCCATAATTTATTCAACTGTTTCCCTATTAATGCATATTCTTTTTTTTCCTATTATGAACAATGATTGCTACATTAAGCAATCTTATATATATGCCCTTACTTACTGATAATTTTGATTCTGTGTAAGAATCCCAGTAATCTCCATGTTACTTTAATTGGCCCTTACCTGATGGATAGTGAATTTGAGCACCTTTTCATGTTTGGTTATTAGGATTTGCTCTTGTGGATTGTCTGTTCATTTGCCCATTTTTCTCTTGGTTTAGTGTTTTTCTATAAAAGCCCTGTTGGAGATATTAGTCCTTTGTCTCTGTTTAAAGTATTTTCCCCCAAATCTTTGTGATGTTTTTATTGTGTTTATGTACGTATTTTCAGAAATGGTTCAAAAAAAGGTAAATGGCTTCTAGAAAAAATGTTGAACATCATGTTTTGATCTTTATGAAAAATGCCTTTGTATGTGTATCTTTTCTCATGATAGTTTTTTAGTGACTCCCTTAACCCAGTGATGTGGGCCAGTTGTGAATATGAATAGTGGTTAGTTAACTGCAAATGTAGAGAAAGTTCTCCAAGACTTATTGAATTGTTAAAAGCCAGTTTGTTGTTGTTGTTGTTTTATTATTTTTTAACCAACTGAGCCACCCAGGGGCCCTAAATTGAATTTTTAGTTAACATAAAGTGTATTATTAGTTTCAGAGGTAGAATTTAGTGATTCATCAGTTGCATATAACACCCAGTGCTTATTACTTCAAGTGCCCTCCTTAATGCCGATCACCCAATTACCCCATCCCACCACCCACCTCCCCTCCAGCAGCCCTGTTTGTTTACTATAGTTAAGAGTCTCTTATGGTTTGCCTCCCTCTCTGTTTTTATCTTATTTTATTTTTCCTTCCCTTCCCCTACGTTCATCTGTTTTGTTTCTTGAATTCCACATATGAGTGAAATCATATGGTGTTTGTCTTTCTGTGACTGACTTATTTCGCTTAGCATAATACCCTCTAGTTCCATCCACATCTTGCAAATGGCAATATTTCATTCTTTTTAAATGGCTGAGTAATATTCCAGTATGTATATGTACCACAACTTCTTTACCCATTCATCTGTTGATGGACATCTGGACTCTTTCCATAGTTTGGCTATTGTAGACATTGCTGCTATAAACATTGGGGTGCAGATGCCCCTCCAGATCACATTTGTTTCCTTTGGGTAAATACCTAGTAGTGCAATTGCTGGATGGGAGGGTAGCTCTATTTTTAATGTCTCGAGGAACCTCCATACTGTTTTCCAGAGTGGCTACACCAATTTGTATTCCCACCAACAGTGTAAGAGAGTTCCCCTTTTTCCGCATCCTTGCCAACATCTCTTGTTTCCTGAGTTGTTCATTTGAGCCATTCTGACAGGTGTGAGGTGGTATCTCATAGTGGTTTTGATTTGTATTTCCCTGATGCCGAGTGATGTTGAGCATTTCTTCATGTGTCTGTTAGCTATTTTATGTTGTCTTTGGAGAAATGTCTGTTCATGTCTTCTGTCCATTTCTTGATTAGATTTTTTGTTCTTTGGATGTTGAGTCTGATAAGATTTTTTTTAAGATTTTATTTATTTATTTGAGAGAGAGAGCATATGGGGGGGAGGGTCAGAAGGAGAGGCAGACTCCCCGCTGAGCAGGGAGCCTGATACGGGACTCGATCCTGGGACTCCAGGATCATGACCTGAGCCGAAGGCAGTTGTCTAACCAACTGAGCCACCCAGGCACCCTAAGTCTGATAAGTTTTTTTTTAAGATTTTATTTATTTGGGGTGCCTGGGTGGCTCAGTCGGTTAAGCGTCTGCCTTCAGCTCAGGTCATGATCCCAGGGTCGTAGGATCGAGCCCCACATCCAGCTCAGTGGGGAGCCTGCTTCTCCCTCTCCCTCTGTCTGCTGCTCCCCCTGCTTGTGCTCTTTCTCTCTGTCAAATAAATAAAATCTTTAAAAATAAAAAAAAATTTAAGATTTTATTTATTTGAGAGAAAGAGCACAAAGAGGGGAGGGGCAGAGGGAGAGGGTGAAGCAGCTAAGCAGGGAATCTGATGCAGGGCTCAATCCCAAGACCCTGGGATTATGACCTGAGCCTTAGGCAGACGCTTAACCGACTGAGCCGCTCAAGTGCCCTGAGTTTGATAAGTTCTTTATAGATTTTGGATACTATCCCTTTATCAAATATGTCATTGTGAATATCTTCTCCCGTTCCATAGGTTGCCTTTTAGTTTTGTTGATTGTTTCCTTTGCTGTGCAAAGCTTTTTATCCCAGTAGTTCATTTTTGCTTTTGTTTCCCTTGCCTTTGGAGATGTGTCTAACAAGAAGTTGCTGTCGCCGAAGTCAAAGAGGTTGCTGCCTGTATTCTCCTCTAGGATTTTGATGGATTCCTGTCTCATATTTAGGTCTTTCATCCATTTTGAGCCAGTTGGTTTTGTGAAGGTCTAGCACACTGGTTCTCAAACTTGAGCATGTATCAGAGTAATTTTATTATTGGTCTCCCTCCCCTGTTCACACACCTTTATCTCATTCCCCCTCCCGTTTCTGATTCAGTAGGCCTGGGACAAGGCTGGATAATGTGCATTGTTGTTGGTTGTTTGGTTTTTTTTTAAGATTTGATTTATTTATTTGAGAGAGAGAGCGAGTGAACACAAGCAGTGGGCAGGGAGAGGGAGAAGCTGACTCCCTGCTGAGCAGGGAGCCCAACGTGGGCCTCAATCCCAGGACCCCAGGATCAGGACCTGAGCCGAAGGCAAACGTTTAACCAACTGAGCCACCCAGGTGCCCCAATAATGTACATTGTTAACAAATTTCTAGGTGATACTAAGGCTGCTGGTCCAGGGACCACACTTTATAAACCACTGGTCTAGTCTATCCTATTATGTAAAGTTACAAAATCTTACTGAATTCTTACAGTTCCATGTCAAAGAACATCAAGCCTTTTTCCTGATGTCTGAATACTTACTCTTTAGCAAATCCCATCTAGTGAGGTGGGTGGTGTCAAATATTACCTCTGTGGCATGGTTGATAAAATATTTTTTGGGTGTCTGCTTAATTGCTAGAATCATGGTAACACTACAAGGTAGGTGAGGATAGTGAGATTCAGAAGTTATATTATTTTTGGGAAAAGCCTTTGGGCTTTTAGCCTCTGATGAAGTGTAAAATGTATTATTTGCTGTTACTGTCTTAGATGTTAGGGGTTGCTATATAGCATGGTTTTTATTCCAAACCTGGATGTGTCAGTCAGAGATGCAGCTCTTGAATCCACACCCAAACCTTCCAGTTGATACCATTTAAAGAAGTATATGACCAACCCTGTGCTGGATGTAGTATAAAACATGTTCTTCTCTTTATAAAGCTTACATAGTAGTTGAGAAAGCAGATATATGTGCATAATAAAAAGGACAAAGAACTAGTTATTCTGAGTAGTCTTAATAAAAAGCCTAGAATCTCAAACATTCCATAGATTTACCTTGTTGGCTGCAAAAGAACTTTTCTTCATAATAAAAATATGTGCTCAGTATTTTAAAAAATTTAGAAATGTACAGAAGATAATTTATCATGACCATGTGTCTATTCTTAGCATTTTGGTAGATTTTCTTAGTCTTTTATGCATATTTCTTTACATGACTGAACACATGGTCTATATAATTTTATGATTTTAGTGTACTAGCATTAGTGTTTTCCCCAGTTAACTTTGCATAATTTTGTAAGAAATGTTTCTTTGTGTTTAGTGTAATGGTAGTATCATAAATGTCATAGTATCACAGACTTTCACGGATCAGGTTTGGTTTGGCACATGGTTTTTTAAGGATTCCAGCTTAGCACACCTCTCTAGTCATTGGTGCTCTATTTTTATCAGATTACAAAAGATGGAAAGATTTTTCTGGTGACACAGATAATAGAAGTATGCTAAAACAATTAGCTGTGACAACAGAAGAAACAAAAGGAACAGTTGTGAAGGTGTACAGCTTTTCAAGCTTATTCTGCCTTGCAGGTTCAGATCCTTGGTTTGATCCTCAGTCTCATCGTTGGTCTCTTCTATGTGGCATCAAATGTTTGTACCCTTTATCCTCATGGTTATCAGCAAATTCCATGTTTCTTCACCAGAAGTCCTGGGAATAGCCAAGAAAATAGAAAATGTAATGAAGTATTTTTCTTATTGGGTATTAAACTTTTTAAATAAAGCTGTAGGAGTTAAAGTAGTATGGTAGTAACAGTGGAATTTAGTTGAACATTTACACAAACAGATCCAACATGTAGGAGTTGAATTTATAATAAGGACAACATTTCACATTAGCAGAAAAAGGAATTATTCAATAAATAATATAAGAACTGGCTAACTGGGGCAATTAAAGTAGATTCTACCTTATCAGAGTAAAATTAAGATGTATTAAAAAGTTGAGTGTTGAAAGCATGAAGCTAAAAGCATTCAAAGAAAGTATAACTACATGTTCTTACGTTGTTTGGGGTGGGCAGTCATTTGGGGAATGAAACCAAATAAATACCATCAAAGAAGAAATTGATATTAAAATAATGGCTTCATACCTTTTGTGAGTGAATATTTTAAATACTCTGAAGTTATGCCATCATACCATCTCCATTTACAGAACATTTCTCATCGTTTGGGTTATTTTTCAGTATTTTTTCTATTGTAAATAATGCCACAGTGAATATCTTTAATGCATCAATATTTAGTAACATGCTTTTATTAAGTTCTTAATGAATGTTGGACCTTGTAATTTACACATTCTTGTCTCATTTAATCATCAAAAAGATGCTGTAAGCATCATTGTCCCAGTTTTATACCTAAGCTCAATTTTGAGATAAAAGTCAAAAAAAATTGAGTAGCTTGTTCCAGCTGTTGAAGATGAACATAATAGCCAGCTGCCTTAAATCTTTCCCTTTTCACTGGTTCCTCCTATCTATATGTACATTTGAAAAAGAGCAAGAGAAAGCAAGAATATACCTTTTTGGGGGGGGGGGTCAGCTTAGGGAAAGGAATGTCTGTTTTTGTTGATTTTTTTTTTCAAAGAACCAAATTTGGTTTACTTGATTATATCTCTATTTTCTGTTTCATTTATCTCTGCTCTAATTTTTGCCATTTCCTTCTTTCTGTTTGCTTTGGGTCTGGTTTGCTCTTTTTTCCTTAGTTCCTTAAGGTAGAAAGTTAGGTTACTGATTTTAGATCTTTCTTTTTTTAAAGGTAGGTAATTAAGCTGTGAATTTCCCTCTAAGCACTGCTTTCAGCGAATCCTATAAGTTTTAGTATGTCATATTTTTATTTTCATTCATCTTGGGGAATTTTTCTAATTTCTGTTGTGATTTCTTCTTTTACCCATTGGTTGTTAGGAGTGTGTTGTTTAATTTTTACATATTTGTGAATTTTCCAGATTTCCTTCTGTTTTGGATTTCTGATTTCTTTCCATTGTCTTGGAGAAGATAACTTTGTATGATTTTATTCTTTTTAAATTTCTTGAAGTTTGTTTTGTGGCCTAACATATGGTCTATCTGGGAGAATGTTTTATACGTACATTAGAAGAATGTGTATTCTGCTGTTGGGTGGATTGTTATGCATATTTATCTGTTAGGTCTAGTTGATTTAATGTTCTTCTATTTCCTTGTTTATCTTTTGTCTAGTTATAAACATTTGCCCTTTGGATTAGATTAACGCTTGAGTAATGAAGAGTTAGTTTGAATTAATACTTAGTTTTAATAGTACATAAAAACTTTGCTCCTGTATAGCTCTGTTCCCTCCATTTTGTGTTGTTGCCACAAATTACATCTTTATACATTGTGTGCCCATCAGTATAGATGTATAGTTACTGTTTTATATGGTTGTCTTTTAAATAAAACACAGAAAACGAGGGGTTATAAAACTAAAAATATATTAATACTGACTTCTATAATTTACCTGTGTAGCTACATTACTGGTGTTTTTTTATTTCTTCATATGGAGTCAAGTTACTGTCTTGTGCCCTTTCATTTCAACCTGAAGGACTCCAGTTAACATTTTTTGAATCGTGTGTACCAGCAATAAGGTCCCTCAGCTTTTATCTGGGAATTCTTAATTTCGCCTACATTTTTTTTTAAAGATTTTATTTGACAGAGAGAGACACAGAGAGGGGGAACACAAGTAGGGGGAGTGGGAGAGGGAGAAGCAGGCTTCCCGCTGAGCAGGGAGCGTGATGTGGGGCTCGATCCCATGACTCTGGGATCATGACCTGAGCCGAAGGCAGATGCCCCGTCTCCTACATTTTTGAAGGATAATTACGTCAGATCCAGAATTTTTGATTGGCGATTCTTTTCTTCTAGCACTTTGAATATGTCTTCCCACTGTACTCTGACCTCCATGGTTTCTGATGAAAAATCGGCTATTGATCTTATTGTGGATCGCTTGTACATAACAAGTTCTCTTGCTCTTGCTGCTTCAAGATTCCCTTGAAATAGATTTGTAGATCATGTCTTCGGTCAAATTGGAGATGATTTTGGCAATTTCTATAAATAATTTCTCTGTTCCCCTTTCTCCCCTCTTTCTGGGACTCTGATTATGCATATGTTGGTACACTTGATGGAGTGTCCCACATTATCTCTTAGACTTACTTTTAATTTTCCTTCTTTCTACTCTTCAGCTGGGTGATCTCAATTAACCTAGCTTCAGATTTGTTGATTTTTTTCACCTTCCAATATTTACTTGAAAATATACTTGTCTCAGATTTTTACGAAAGTAATACATGTTTAGTGTTGAAAGTAAGAAAGTACCTAAAATTGTAAAGAAGTAAGTCTTCAGTCACCATCATGTACAAAAAATAACTGATAGCATTGTGTTTCATATGCTGCTTTTCCCTCCACATAACCCATGATATCTTCCCGCAGCATTAAATATTTCTTTGGAAAACGTAATTTTTAAAATAGAACTACCATGTGATCCAGTAATCATATAACTGGGTATTTACCCAAAGAATACAAAAACACAAATTCGAGAGGATATATGCACCATGTTAATTGTAGCATTATTTACAGTAGCCAGACTACAGCACCTGTCCATCGATAGATGAATGGATAAAGAATGGAATAATATTCAGCCATAAAAAGAATGAAATCTTGCCATTTGCATCAACATGGATGGACCTAGAGAGTATAATGCTAAGCGAAATAAGTCAGAGAAACAAATACCATATGAATTCACTCGTGTGGAATTTAAGGAACAAATGAACAAAGGGGAAAAGACAAACCAAAAACCAAACAGATGATTGCCTGAGGGGAGGTGGGGGAGGTGGGTGAAATAGGTGAAGGGGATTAAGAGTACACTTCTTGATAAGAGAATAATATATGGAATTGTTGAATCACTGTACTGTACACCTGAAAATAATTTAATACTGTATGTTAACTATACTGGAATTAAAATAAAAATGAATAAATGTGTTGACTTAAAGATTTAAAAAATAATAAAGTTAAATTTGCTTTAATACTTTTTAGGAAAAAAGAAAATTAATTTTTAAAGACTAGACCATAGTCTTGGCTTCTAAACCACCTCCTGGTCCTCCTGAGTTTCCAGAACTGCCCTTCCATGTCTTCTTGGCTACTACCTCCTCCTGTGCTCAGCCTCTTAGTGTTAGAGTGGCTCAGGGCTCCACCCTGGGCTTTCTTATATAATTACTGCCTCAAAAATCTCTACTGGATATCTAATAGTTGTAATGTGTACAATATCAAACTTCTGACCTCTCCTCCCATTTGTTCCCCTAGGCTTAGCCTATTCCATGTACCTGGCTCCTTTCCTTTCCTGGACAGTGCTAGGTACACTCTTCCTGCAGGACCTCTACACAGCTGTGTTCCCAGTTGTCTCTATGGCTTGCGCCCTCATCTTTAAGTCTTAAGTACCACTATCTCTGTAAAGTCTTCCCTAACATCCTGTTTTAATATTAGAACATTGTCTACT